CCAGTCAGCAAATACTCATTGTAGTGCCCATTTGATGCCAATACCCTAAACACTGGCAGTATGTATAGAAAATATGTGGTGTGTGTTGTCTCAGGAAGACACAGTGAACAAGTGTGGGACAAGGCAATAAACATTTACTGTGGAATGTAGTTCTGTAATAGTTATTATGGTGCTGGACACGAGAGAGGGGGCATTGCCAGAGAAAGGAATACGCTGCCCTGTGTGGGAGCGTTCCGGAGGGCCTTTGATGAAGTTGTGTGTGGACCCCTCTGAATAGAATGGGAGCTTACTTGTCTGTGAAAGAGAGTTGGTAGGCAGAGGGAATAGTCTGTAAGACATAATTTTCCATCAAAACTATGAAGGCAAGAAGTTGCACGATAGGCTTGGAGAATCACCTTTAGTATTATTGAGTTAAAGGTGCAAGGCAAAAAAAAATTATGAAATGAGGTGGAATATGTAAGCAGAGAAGAGATCACAAAGGACCCCATATTATTTTTAAAAAACTATTTATAGAATCACTTTTGTGTAAAAGAGTGAGATTATTGATGTATATGAAGCATGTGTACACTCATGAGTGCTTGCATGTATGTGTGCACGCGCACGTGCTCACGCACCCCCCCCACCCCAGAGGAAGTTGGATAGAGAGTAATCTCCTCCATTGGATTCCTTAGGAGCCCAGGGAAAATTACTGAGTATCTGATCTCATAAACAAAGAGGCCATTATGAGAGTGGCGCCCTTTGAGAAGTGGACTAAGAAATCCTCAGTGGCTCTCGGCCAGGCTGCTAACCTGTGGGGATGTCCTGAGCAGTTTTAGTGTGTAGTGTCACAGTGCACTATGGGCAGAGGTCTTCACTCCATCAAATCCCTAATGAAATTAAACTTTCAATGTGGAGGGGAAGGATTGATATAGAAGATTAGGATCGACAAGCAATTTTTAAAGACTGGGGGTTAAATTTCACATACAGTGCTTTACAAAGACCTTAAATGTAAACATGCATTTGGGTGAGTGTAAACACTCACCTCAGTCATGAGTCAGAACATTTTAATCTCTCCCCTTAGAGGCTTCAGCCACCCTTGATTTCTAGTCCCATACTCATATATCGGTTTGCACTTACTCTTGATCATTCCATGGATAGAATCATACAGGATGTACCTTTTGTTTCTGGATTTCTTTTGCTAGGTACAGAGTTTAGATATTTTTCATCCATGGTGGTGTGCCCATCAGTCATGCACTTCTTTTTCTTTGAATAGAATTTTATTGTACAAGTATACCATATGACAACTTGTTTATTAACATTACTGTTTAATGAACATCAAAATTGTTTCTAAATATATTTTAATTTTTTCCGGGGTGGGTACCTGAATGTAAAATTACTGGGTCACAGGCTAGATATATGTTTTAACTCTAAGTAATAGTTCTTTAGAATGGTAGCAGTATTTTACAATTTTCCAGCCATCTATGAGGGGGTATAAAAAAAAAACCAACAACCAGAAAAAAAACTCTGCTGGGAGGAGCTTTCATTGTATGTGAGCATTAAGCAACTCACTCTTAGTGCACCCAGTGGCATCACCTGGGAAGGTTCTCTCTGGTCACAGTGAATTTTTCCATAAAAGCATTTTTGCTCAAACCTTATTTTTTGTGATGGCCGATTTAAGAAAACAGTGTGTGGCTGTGAAATTTTGTTTCCTGCACTAGAAAAATGCCACAGAAACTGTTGTGATGTTGAACACAGCTTACAAGGACAGTGCTATGGGAAAAAACTCAAGCGTATGAGTGAGTGGTTTTCTCATTTCAAAAAAGGTGACATGTCGATTGATGACAAACCTCGTTCTGGACGGCTGTCAATGTTCTGAACAAACGAAAATGTTGACCTGTAGAGCATTTGGAATTCACCCACTGGGCCAGTTAACCAGCCTTTCCAATTACAGGTTCTGAAAAGATTGCTTCACAGTGTGTGATAAAAAAAGGTCTGATTTGTGGCAGGCTGGGGCTGGTTTTGCCACCACAACAATGCACCTGCTCACACAGCCATCTCAATGTTCCAGTTTTTGGCAAAAAACAGCATGCCTCTCTTGCCCCATGCACTTGACTCATCTGACCTCGCTCATTGCAACTTCTTTTTGTTTACCCAAGTAAAGAGGGATATAAAAGGATAGCGATTTGACAATGTAGAAAAAGGTGAAGAAAAAAACCAGGGAGGTGCTGTCAGCCATCTAAACAGATGAATTTAAGAAATGTTTCCAAGAATGGAATCACAGATTTGACAAGGGTATTAAGTGTAATGGAGAGTACTTTGAAGGTGATCAGGTTGTTTTGTAAAAAAAATTTAAACACATAGCTGGGGGGTGGGGGGGTATCCCTCTTATGCAAGTTCAGTGGCTCCCCCTTGTTGTCATCATTTGATGTTGTCACTTTAGTGTCAGTTATGCTAACAGGTATGAATAGGAGCCCTAGTGGCACAGGGGATTGGTTACGTTTGGCTGCTAGCAGCTCAGTGGGAGAAGGATGAGGCTTCGACGCCCATAAAGATTTTACAGTCTCTAAAATCCACAGGGACAGTTGCTACGCTCTCCTGTATGGTCACTATGAGTTGGAATGGAATTGACGGCAATGAGCTTGCTTTTGAGTTTTTGGAACAGGTGTGAAATGTGATCAACTTTTCCTTTTCCCAGTGTCTACGGTTGAACCCCTTTCATATGCCTACTGGCTCATCTTTTATCTGCCCATTTTTTAATTGAGTTATATTGTTATTGTTACTTATTTGTGAGAGTTCTTTAGATATTCTAGATACAAGTCCTTTGTCAAATGTGAATACATGTGTTGCAAATAGTTTCTCCCTATCAGTGGACTGCCGTTTTCATTTCTTAATGACATCTTTAGGTGAACAGATGTTTTAGATTTTGACAGAATCCAATTGAACATTTAAAATTTTATGGATACTGTTCTTTGTGTCTTCTTTAAAAGTCTTTTCCTGCCTGGAGCTTGTGAGGTACTCTGCTCTGTTTTCTTTCGGAAGTTTTACGATCCCTCTCAAATTGATGTTTCATATGTACCGTTAGGTAGAAGATAGTTCATTTCCCCACTTTATTAGTTGTGTCAGCATTACTTAAGATACTTTCTTTTCCCCAAGTGGCCCGTGGGTCTAGATATGTGTCTGTTCTCTATTCCGTTCCATTGATCGATTTGTCCTTCCTGTGATGATACTTCCTTCAGAGCTTTGATTGCTTAGCTTTCTAGAAGATCTTCATAGGAACTCGCTCTCTCTTCTAAATGCTTTGCTTTTCTAGTAAATTACTGTGTCTGTTTATTAATTTCTACAAAAACAAAGCTGGGACTTTGACCAGGGCTTTAAAACTATTGATCTGTTTGGGGAATACATCTCTTATTTTAGGGGGTGGGGACGGGAATACATCTTAACACGATGTAATCTTTCAGTCCTTGTACATGATGGATTTTCCCAATTATTTGTGTCTTCTTTATCTCTACGGTATTTTATCGTTTCAGTGTCAGACTTGCACATTGTTTGCTCAGTTTAGCCCTAATTTGTGTTTTAGATACTAACATTAAAGATATTTAAAAATTTTTATATTTCAGGTGTTTATGTCTATGACCAATACTACCCATTGTCATCAAATTAATTCCAGCTCATAGTGACCCTATTGGACAGAATAGAACTGCCCCGTAGCTTTTCTAAGACTGTGAAAGCAGGCTGCCACATCTTTCTCTTATAGGGTATCTGGGGGGTTCAAACTGTGACCTGGTGACTGACAGTCAAGTGCTAAACGATATAGCCAAGTGCTAAACGATATAGCCACCAGGCTCATTGTCTATGGCTAGTGAGTAAAATGGAATTGAGTTTTTATATATCGACTATTTACCCTATGACCTTACTGAAGTCACTGATTAATTCCGGTTATTATTTTATACGCACCTATGATATCCTAGGCCAGGAGCACTAGAGGCCTAGTGGTTATGTATAGGGCTGCTAACCCTATACATTCAGCAGTTTAAAACCACCAACCACTCCATGGGAGAAAGATGAGGCTTCCCACGTCCTGAAAGAGGTGGCGTCTCAGAAGCCCACAAGGGGCACTTCTACCCTACCTTATAGGGTCGCCAGGAGCCAGAGTCGACTCAAAGGCAGTCAGGTTTCTGGGTGTGGTGATTTCCACATAGAAATGTCAGCTACAAATAAAAACACCTCGAGGTATCATTTTTCTGTCTAAATGTGTATGAGTCATGTTTTAGAGCGGGCTAAAAAAATCCATAACCAAAGCAAAAATCGGGAAGTCGCCCTTCAGTTTCTCATGTTCCGTGACGGCCCTCCCTGAGCATTCCGTCGTCACGTGGGCTCTGCTCCAGGACGAGAGTGCTTCTCTACGCTATCTTTAGGACCGTCTTTGTTTCTCGGACCTGTTTCCGTGTGCCGACTGCTTGCATCCGGTCCTCTAACCTGGGATGATGGTGAACTTTGTTTTCTATGGATGCCCGGAAGTAATCTTCTGCCTATTAATGATGCTCTCAGGGTAGCCTTTGCAATCCACTTGATTTCTCAGGGACTGTTCCCGCATCTCAGGCATAGGAACAATTTGGGGGATGGTGCAGGACCAGGCAGTGTCTCCTTCTGTTGTGCATCTGGTCGCTGTGGGTCAGAACCGACTCAGTGGAACTAACAACAACAACAACATGTCCATGTCTGTAGCCTGATAGAATCCAGCCAGACTGTTCCTGAGATCTCATCCGTACTCCGCTTGAATTTACTCTTAGCTTTTAATACTTCAGAGGCAGCAGTCTGGAAAAGGAAACAAGTTTTTAGACTATACAGTAATTCCTGCTGTATCATTGTAAATGTGCTAGAGAATTGAAAAACAATTGGTTTAAGTCCAGTATTAAGTCTTTTGATTCTGAAAACTCTGCCTTTTTTTGGTTTCATTTGCATCTGTTACCGTGTATGTAGAGTTTAACACACTTAAATTTTTCTGAAACTTTTATTTCTAGACTGCATAGAGCCCAGTGTGCAATTAAACAGACTCAGGTAACTGTTCAGAAAATTGGGAAGGAAATGGAAGAAAAGCTAAGGCTCACATCTGCAAGCAATGAGCTGGTAAGTCTTTCAAACATTTACTTGCCTGTTTAAAGCGCAGGCCTTCTAGCGGTGCATCATCATGCTCTACTTGGATGGATTTTGTTTTCTTTATTGATAATGTTTCGCTGAGACTTCGTTGACATTTAAAAGTTGGAAATAAACTTTCCCCTCTGTTAATAACCTAACATATAAAGTACTTGCCTCATTTCTGCTAGATGGAACTTTAGATTACACACAATTACTTAGAAGATAATTAACAGGCTATTTTATTAATGTCTTATAATATGAGCTCTAAACATGAACTGTATAGTGAATGAAAAATAGCTGCCAAAAGAAGGAAAAATAAACTTTAGGGACTAGTTTACTTTTAAAGGGTGAATTTAAAAATTCTTTGGATTGAGTATAATAGCTTGGTTTGTGAAACACTATTCTTTACTTTGAGAAAGAGTCTCTAATGAGGCATTTCCAGAGAAACAGAAATCCCAATCCAAATGGACAAAATTGAGATATAAATAACATTTTAAATCGCTTTATTCTCTTCCGAGTAGGAAAAAAAACGTAAATTTTAGATGGGAGATTTTGCCTTTTCCAAACAGAATAGTGAGTATAACTGATAAAATGAGCGTTGCTGAAAACAAAGCTACTTAAGGTATGGAGGGCTTTCGATGAAATTTGTGCTGTGGCTTATATTACCGACAATAAAATTCATATCTTCAAATTAAATCCTCAGAAACTCAAACAAAACAAAGACACCTCACAGCTATGCTAATGCATAGTGACATTAGATTGAAAAAAATATTTTTTTAATGTAATTGTTGCACAAGCATATTAGCTTCACATCAGCAGTAGCTTGCGGTTGTCATCCACAACACTGTCAATTTGGGAAAAGGCGTTTTACATGCTACACAAAGACTCTTTGTTACTCTGAAATTTGCCCACAATAGTCTGGAAGAGCCCAGTCCAATTAGCCCATGTCTCTCTCTCATGGAATTGGAAACTAATAGATGAACATGTATTAGTTTGAACCCTATAAAATTATTGATTTGGCCCATAGCTAGCAATTTTTCTTGTTCAATGTAACAAAATGGCTGGTACTGCACGTGGCACATTGCAGACTGGCTGGTACTGCACGTGGCACATTGCAGACACACAACATGCGGGAGGAGAGTCACGAGGTTCCTCTGACTGCGTACCTTTGAGAGGCTGCGGACCCACCTCTTGTTTGATGTATCAAGTTTAAGATCATAGCTCTTTTAGAAGGAGAGAAAAGACAGATAATTGTAATTCTTTACTGTGCATTAGTGCCACATTTGGAGAACTTTGGGGGGAAATTCATGGTTTTATTTTTCTTGTTTTCCTCTCCCAAGGCAAGGCTGGGGAATGACTTATTTCAGTATGTGACAGCATATGCTTTGTCTTGGTCTGAAAAAAAATGGATGTTTAATCCTTTTTTTTTTTTTTTTAATATAAGTGGCGACACCAGAGCAAGGTGCTAGAATATATGAGTTTACAGAGGTCAGGTTCAGAGTGTCGCTGTGTTTTTCATGCTGCCTTGTCAACACAGGAGAAAACATTAGAATTTTGAACTGAAAGTGAACCTAGAAATCTTCTAGTTCTCTAATCACCCCATTTAAAATCATCACCTCTCACAATAAATCTTGTCCCCTTCCCTGCTTCATTTTCTCCATGGTTCTTGTTAAATTTAACATACAAGGTGGTACCCAGAAAAACCTGTAATTTTTTTCCAAAGCTATGTATTTACTTTTTTTTTTTTTACAAAACAACCTTATCACCTTCAAAGTACTCTCCATTACACTTAATACATTTGTCAAATGTGCAATCCCATTCTTGGAAATATATTTAAAACTCATCTGTTTGGATAGCTAACAGAACCTCCCTGGTTTTTTTATTCACCTCTTCTATGTCGTCAAATCATTGTCCTTTCATGTCCCTCTTCATTCGAGGAAACAAAAGGAGGTCGCACGGGGTGAGGTCAGGTGTGTGGAACAAGAGAAGCAAGCTGTTTTTTGCCAAAAAGTGGCACACTGAGATGGCTGCATGAGCACATGTGCATTGTTGTGGTGGCAAAACCAGTCCCCAATCTGCCACACATCAGGCCTTTTTTCGTCACACATGCTAACTTTTCAGAACCTCTAAATCAGCGGTTCTCAATCTGTGGGTTGTGACCCATTTGGGGGTCAAATGACCTTTCCACAGGGGTTGCCCAGTTCATAACAGTAGCAAAATTACAGTTATGAAGAACTATATTATTATTCACACTGAAAATAATGTTATAGTTGGGGGTCACCACAACATGAGGAACTGTATTAAAGGGTCTCGGCACTAGGAAGGTTGAGAGCCACTGGTCTAAATAGAAAGCTTGATTATCAGTCTGACCTGGTGGAACAAACTCCAAACGCACTATCCCTCTCACATCGGAAAAACAAATGAGCATCATCTTGATCTTTGATTTCACTCAATGAGCTTTTTCTGGGTGAGTGACAATGGTGTCTTCCATTGACTTGAATGATGTTTGGTTTTGGAGGTCTTAAGAATAGCACTATGTCTTGTCACCAGTAATGACCTTGGGGGAAAAAAGTGTGGGTCACTTTAGAGCCATTCTTTCAAAGCATGATATGTTTCCACTTGACACTTTTTCCTGGTCAGTCAGAACCCAAGGCAATTGCATAGTGATCCTTCTCATTCCCAAATCTTGCATAAAATTCGCTGAACCGAGCTCCAAGATAGTTCAGATAACTTCTCCATCTCTTCAGTGGTCCCTCGTCATTGGTCTTTGAGCACAAGTGCACGAATTTTATTGACATTCTCATCTGTTCAGGAAGTTGCTGGGCATCCAGAATGAGGTTTGTTTGTTATCAATCGACATTTCACCTTTTTTGAAAAGAGAAAAACCACTCGTGCTTGAGTTTTTCCCATAGTGCTGCCCTTGTAAGCTGTGTTCAACATCAGAACTGTTTGTGTAGCAGTTTTTCAGAGCAGGAAACAAAATTCCATGGCCGCACCCATTCTTTTAAATCAGCCATCACAAAAAAATGACATTTCAGTGAAACTGTTTTTATCAAAAAATTCACTGTGTCCAGAGAGAACCTTCCCAGGTGACGCCACTGGGTACATTAACTCACTGCGAACTGCTCAATACTTGCCTAGTGGGAAAATGTACCACACAAGTTCCGCAGGACGGAGCTTTTTTGTTTTGGGGGGGTACCCCCTCATATATGAGGGTTAGTCTAAAAGCATTGCAACGAGGATTCCGGTGCATGACGCATGCACAAATCTGTTCCAAACAAAGGAGGTTTAACCATGTCTCCATGACCAGTGGGTAGCTGCAGACATGTTCTCTCAGAAATCGCCTGTCTTAAGTCTTGTTAGTGTGCCTTCCAGCAAAAAAGGGTCCTTTTTATGTCACGGAGAAAAACAATTTTGAGTTTCGGGTTAATGATACATTTTCATGAAATTCAAGTGGACATGTTCCTGTGTCAGTAAAGCCTTACAACTTTACTGAAATACTGCCCTGTATAAAATAACAGAGTTTAAATGGAACAGGTATGTTAAGGAAGGTTGGGAGATCTTAATGATGGCTGGATCAGGAGAAGAAAGACCTTCAAGCTCAGCGAGTGAAGAAACTGGTTAAAGTCCAGAAACTGTTGGAAAACCACTGTAGAATTGCCACTGATGTGATAGCTACTATAGTCGGGATCTCACATGGTTTGGCATTGGCAATGATAAGTGAATAGCCTGGTCCCAGCAAAGTGTTGGCTCAGCTGATGCCAAAAGTGCTATGCAAAGATCAGTCAGCACAAAGGGCTGATCTTTCCATCAGACTTTTAAGCAAGATCAAAGCTAATGAAGATGATTTTATGAAGCAAATTAAAATTAGGAAAAGTCTTAGATTTACCAATATAATCTAGAGAGTAAGATCCAATCAAAACAGAATCCTGAATGAAAACAGAGGAAACCCGATATGCCAGTTAAATTTAAGCAAGGCAGAGAGGTGAGTTCACAAAGTTATGAACACTGATCCCGGGGACTCCTAAGAGGAAATCTTGGAAGAAGTATGGCCAGAGTGCTCATCAGGATGACAAGTTTTCATCTTACACATTTTGAACGCATTGTGAGGAGAGACCAGTCCCTGGAGAAGGACATCATGCTTGGTAAAGCGGAGGGGCAGTGAGAGAGAGGAGGGCCCTCCATGAGATGGACGGACACACTAGCTGTACCAATGGGCTCAAGCCTAGGAACCAGTGAGGATGATGCTGTTGTGGGCAGTGCATCGTTCTGCTGTGCATAAGGTTGCTATGCTTCAGAACCACCTCAGTGGTACCTAACATCAGTCTTGATAGGTTTCCTTGAGGACAAAGCACGGTCACGGGGGCTTAATAGGAGGCAGTTTAAGAAACTTGAAAACTGCACCGATGTGAATGAAAAAGGCCAGGAGGGAAAGCCATAGTTGGTTATGTATGTGTATTGTTGGGCGCCGTGTGTTAAAAATGTTTTACGGGTTTTTGCATCTTTGTTCATGAAGAATGTTGATCTGTGGTTTTATTGTCCTCTAATCTCTGATTTTTTTTTTTTTTTGGTGGCGTGGGTGGGGGGTTCCGGATAGGATAATACTGGACTCGACCAGTGAGTTGGGAAGTGTTTCCTGTTAGGTTTTGGGCGAATGTGTCTAGAATTTGTTTTTGTATTTCATAAGTGTTTGATAGAATTCTCCAGTGAAGCCACCTGGCCCTGAAGTTTTCTTTGTAGAGAAGTTTTGGACTAGGAATTCCGTTTCTTTGTTACATAGGGTTATTAAAGTTACCTACTTCTTGAGTGAGACTTGGTAGCTTCTGTTTTTCAAGAAATGTGTGATTAGTCTTTAGTTTTAGCCATTCTTCTGGATGCATAGTGGTACCTTTGGGTTCTAAATTGTATTTCTATGATGGCTAATGCTGTTGAGCAATTTTTTTGCTCTTTTGGCTATTTATGTAACTTTTCAGACATATCAGTTCAAATCA